AAAAACGATAACACTTTTTTAAAATATCCAGATTCAAACAAATTAACTGGAAGAATGAAATGATTGTTAATTAAAATGTTTTTGTTTTGATGTTTTTTTTTATTTATCTGATTACTGTTAGGTGTTGCATAGATCGAAGCTTATCACATTAAGTGGAATGAATACAAAATAATCCCGTTAAGAAGGCGGATAACAACATTTGAAGGACTATTTCTAAACACACTTCAATCATATATACTGTAAAGTTATAATTCTAAGTTAGTCATTTAATATAATTACTGTTGTACAACAAAATATGTAGATAAACAATTATTCAATTAAACCTTATTTCAGATTAATTAATTGTACATCACATTTCGACCCTCACTTTTTTCTAAAATTAACCACAATGAATGGATTTTGAGAAAAAGGGATATATAGGGTCATTCTAGGGCGTTTGACAGTGTGGATAGGGAAACATAATGGAAACTTCTTCGACACTATAGAGTTCCTGAGAAGATTGTCAACATTATCCGGAACTCATACGACGGACCACAGTGCAAGGTCGTGCATGGAGGACAGCTGACAGATGCATTCCAAGTGAGGACCGGAGTCAGACAAGGCTGCCTACTCTCTCCCTACCTCCTTCTTCTGGTGGTCGACTGGATTATGAAGACCTTGACATCTGAGGGAAAACGCGGAATACAATGGACAGCTCACAACCAATTGGACGATTCAGACTTCGCAGATCACCTAGCCCTCATATCGCATACACATGAACAAATGCAGATAAAGACAAACAGTGTAACAGCATTCTCTGCATCAGTGGGTCTCAACATACACAACGGGAAAACCAACATCCTCAAATATAACATGGAGAACAGCAACTCAATCACACTTGATGGCGAAACTCTGGAACATGTAGAATCCTTCACATACCTAGGAAGCATAATCGATGAACAAGGAGGATCAGATGCAAACGTAAATGCGAGGATTGGCAAAGCAATGGCCGCATTCGTACAATTGAAGTTCATATGGAACTCAAAACAAATTTCAACCAATATCAAAGTCACAATCTTCAATACGAACGTCAAGGCAGTCAGTTCTATTGTACGGAGCTGAAACATGGAGAACTACTACAACCATCATCAAGAAGGTGCAAGTATTTATAATTAGCTGTCTACGCAAGATACTCAACATCCATTGGCCGGATAGCATCAGCAACAGCTTTTTGTGGGAGAGAACAAACTAGCTTCCAATTGAAGAGGAGATTAGGAAAAGACGATGGAGTTGATGGATAGGACATAAATTACGCAAATCATCAAACTGCATCACGAGGCAAGCCCTAAACTATAATCCTGATTGGAAGGGGAAAAGAGGATGGCGAAAGAACACATTACATCGGTAAATAGAATCAGATATGAAAGGGATGAATAAGAACTGTAAAGAGCTGTAAAGGATTGCTTTGGACAGGGTTGGATGGAGAATGCTGGTGAGGGACCTATGCTCCTTCACAAGAAGTAACAAACGTAAGTAAATAAGCATGATCCTTACAGTAAACAGAAAGTAAATCGTATTTCGTCTGAATGATTTTCTTTCAATGCATATTAGAAAAAGTTCGCTTCGTATGTTCTTTTGTGTAATAAATGTATACTTCAAAATTATCATGAATATTATATACAACTGATATTACCGTATTTGTTTAAAGAAAGAACGGTTAACTTACAGCTGTATAGTTTATATACTACCTCTTTCAAATGTAAGAAAAACCCTATATTAATAATCATGTCTTCACTAGCGACTAGCTTCGAGACAGAATTTTCAATGTTCTAGTGACCAGTTATGACCAGTAAAGAACAACCGTGTCGGATGTGAAGCAGTTATGCACGAAAGACATCAAATGGTCGCGAAATGTGGTAGACTGCTTAAAGTTAGACATTAATACTGTTGGATGTCAGCCCAATAATCCAATGGTGACGCGTTTGCGTGCGAGGCTGAAAATCCTAGATTTGCGTCCCGCGTGAGAGATCTGCACTGTTGAGGAGTCCCATACTAGGACGATACGGCCTTCCAGTGTTTTCAGGTTTAACCTTAACTGATTAGTGATCTTATTGAAAGTCAACAATCTGCACAACCCTATACTGAAAATTTATTTAGTTTGGATAAATACTAACACAATTAGGTATATTCCAGTTGAATATCATGTATTTTTGATAATTACCACTGTGATTAATAAATCAGTTGACCATCAAATTCATTTTTATTATCAATTGTTACATTCTTATTTCTAGATTTTTGCATATTTTTGCTTACAAAAAATCCGCTTATACCAAACCCAAATAAAATCAATTTTTAGGGATTTTCTCATCGTTTTAACAAAAAGCTGTTTAGTATATATACACACAAAAATAATGTTTTATTTCTTTTTCCTTTAAGTTTTCACTTTAACATTTATTTAAAACCATTAATGTAAAAGTTCATTTACACTATTCTTGAACTATAAAATTAAAATTCTGAATACTTTTATTTATAATAACTGCATAATACAAAGATATAGTATATAGAACACATTAACACTTCTCAAAGATAATCTTATATCGATTAGTTTACAAGTAAACAGCTGATACTTTTTAATGTCATATGCTTAGAAATAATATGTCTATTCTATTGTGATAGTTAAACAGATTTTAATCTTTCATACTTGATAATAATCCTCAATCATCAATTGTTTTTTTTTGAAAATTTATTTTGCAATTTTAATATTCTTCCAGTTGATAATTACCTCTTATATTTTTCATCTATATAACGAATTCATTTGATTATTTTGTATCATCTATTATATAACCATATATCTACTTCATTTAATACTTCATAGTTAATTCCTCAACAGTTATCCATATTAAATAAATACAAACATAAGTATGCAACTCTGATAAATAACATAAATAAATAATATATTTTTAATATCGTAATCAGTAGAAAAATTAGATTTTCTAACGTTTCATGACTTGATGTATGCCTTTTCTTCAGAGAATAAGTAAATAACCAAATTATAATGAATTCAAGTTTAAATAGTACAAAGGAACAACGCAAGAATATATATATATATATATATATATGGGGAAATATTTTGATTGGTTAATTTTTAAATTTGCAGATAAATCTTCAGTTTATTGTGTGTAATAATAATAATTTACTTCATAAGTTTAATAGTGAAGTAAACTAGTTTCGTAGAACTTGATAACAAATAAAGGTAGGTGGTGTTGTATTTTCATTACAAATGCTTTAATAACTAATGTATTTTAGTTTGAAATTTCCTTAATTTAAGCATCAAAAAAAGATCACTGTTTCTATTCTACATAATCGATTATAGTACTTACGTAAAATATTCATATTCTAAGGGATTAAAAATAAAGTTTGGAAATGAAATTTAAAGAAAAAAACTCTGAAGACAAGCATTAACAACACTTCCCTGGAAGTAAAATTAAATCGATCAATATTTAAGAGGCGGTTAGTCAGACAGTTAATTATATATTATATTCGAGTATTTCCTTTTTTTCATATTCGTAAAATAACAATAACAAAGTAAATATCAATCACGTAATGTAAGTGGGTTTGAAAGTGTATTAAATAGAGAGGTAGTATATGTGTGCAGACATAGAAACAGATGCATACACCTACACACATATATTCATTTAAGTAATCAGGATTTATTTGCTTACCTATTTGCTAATTTCAATGTTTATGAAAAGGCTTTTCATTTATCTTGCCTATACATATTAGAAACCGATTAATAGCACGAAAAATAATAGAATAATGTCAGTAGGGTTTATAATCAATAATTCTTAGTTATGAAATCTTACTTCTGACTGTTTATTAAACATAAATTCATTCTTTTTTCACTTGGTATTATTATACTAAGATTTGTTAGAAGTATTCTTATTATTTTAGGCTAGTTAATTACTTATATTAACTAATTATGCGATATTACAATATGGTTAGGCTGTGAAATATACTAATTTGGAAACCAGTTGGAAAAAAATAAGATATTTTAAGTTGCTTAACTGAACTAACAAATGATGCCTAAAAATACGGTTCAGTCCAATTATCAATAAATTCATGGATTAACGTTACGTTTTGGTTTCGTCGCCTCTAGCTTACTCCAATCAACTACTTCTAAATCAGGCGAAGTCACCCATCGAAGTAGATGGTGGTTAGGCTTATGTACCACATATCTCAATCACTTCAATAAACAACGACTCACTATCTTATTAACCGAGTTACGTTTCTCGACTAGCTTTTCGTTTCCCTCTTCAGCATTGCTTACTCAATCGTCCTAATTTAGGAGACTTATGCTTTGAAAACACCTACGATCATATACTCGTAACCTGTTAATATCCTCATTTCTTAATGGGTGTGTTTTACACTACGAACTACCGTAAAGCATGTTTTTCCTTTGATTCGAAAACAGGCATCTCCTACGCCACAAGAGATGTGAACTAGTAAAAGACAAACTAGCATTCTGAATTCGTGCAAGGATTTAGTTAGACGCAAACGTACCAGTGTTTATGAGACGTTTATGAAAAGTGAAGTGGTCGATGCACCCTATTATTTTACTCCTTACCACTGATTCAGGTGTCCACATAGACCAGCCAGCAATATTTTGGATTTAGAGGAAGAAAATCGTAATTTAAACACATCAGCGTTATCACTCAAGGTGATCTGACGACTCTGCATTTTATCTGTATTGTCACCAAACACCATTATATCATCTGCATATTCCGAGTCATCAAGCTAATCTCCGTGTACGAGACCGATTTCTCAGAAGCTAGACTACGACAGCGCTTTCTCTAAATGAGTATTTACAGCAAACGTGAACAAAAATGAGGTGTACAATTGTAACTACTTCAAAAGTTTGAAATACGATATTATCATGATTTTACTATGGATGAACTAATAACAAGTATAACTTTACGCAACAAGATCATGACATTTTTCGTATAAAAATTCATTATACTTACTTAATTACTCCTTTTGCTGTTTAAATGATGATAATGATACTGGACGATCGGAATTTACAGAAGCATTACTTGAATGTATATCAGTCAAATTCTCAGTATTCGATTTAACGAGTTTTGAGGGAGAATTTTTAAGTTGATTGTCACATTGTTTTATCAAATCTGGAGAAACATTGCGATATAATTCATGGGGAAATGAATATGAAAGTCTGGGACTTAATTTTGCATAACTAATATGACTTTTATACAAACTTTTATCAGTAGGAAACGATAATTTTGGACAGTTTTGAGAGTGGGTAATTATTTTATTGATAAAATTATTGGTGGTATTATTTGATGAACTGTTCGGATGTGATGTTGATGTGATTGAAATATGTGACCGTGCACTAGCAAACTCGGTTAGATTTTCATCTTCCAACGACGAACACATTAGGTTGGATTGCACAAATGATGACTGAGATGAAACATTTGCTTTCGTATTGAAATTTGTACAAAATATCACAGAGTCCGGATAAACCGCAGCACTGAAGGACGATTTAGGTATGGCAGCTGTATTAACTAGATTATGCTCATTAGACCAACTATCACTGTCAAACGGATTAAGTGACTTCCCATAATTATCGGATGACTTATCAGTAAAATTGAAGTTGGATTTGGATTGGAACGAATTTGATGGAAATCTAAAAGATGGCCAAGTGGGACTTGATGCGAAACCTGGATCCCTTGTGAGAAACGATTTTTCGTTTACCAAATCGTTCAAGCCAAGTTCATCACTATAAGTTAACCTTGAATTATCTAACAACGGTTTTGTTTCACTATAGGAAGGATAGACTGAGTTATCTACAGTAGAATTATCATTATGAGAATGCGCATCTATGTCCATTATGTCAGCTTTGTCTGGTATTTGTGAAGAACTTACGACTTTCATATTCACTATTATTTTATTATTATGATTATCATCAGTTTCAGAATTTGTGGAACAGTTTATTTTTTTATAAAAATTACGATAACCATGGTTATGTTTGAATTTATGAAGATTTAATTTTCGTTTAGAAAATGTCGTTAAATGGATTGCTGAACATCGACGATCTGATGCATGCTGACTCCGTGAACCATGTAGACGGAAGACTTGCAAATGACGAAAAGGATTAGACTCACGACGATGAACGGCAGATTGGCTTTCAGTTATTTTATCAACATTTGACATATGGTCACTACATCCAACCCCAGCATTATTATTTTTGGTATTATCACAGTCTTTAAGATTACTTGTAGATCTTCTATTTTCATACAAATCTTTTGATATAGACTGTCTTACCCTCAATAAACGGGAGATTTTTGAAATAGATTCACTTGTTAGACGTCTATGATGCTTAAAGTTTCCATGTTCCAGTGCACTAATTAAAGGATTATTAACATGTAAATGACTGTTTGATTCTCTTTGTTCATTGATTGTTGCTCTCGCCTGTTAATTCATTTAAAAAAAAGATTGAAAACGTACTGTCAATTTAAAAAATATTTGAACGTAAAGTGCATTCCATAAAGGGTTCAGAAACCACCAGGTACATTATTAGTGAATATTAATATTGAAATAAATGTCAAAACAAAGAAATATAGTTAGTTCTATTGATGACTGTACAAACAACACGAATAACTGGATTCACTTTCGAAAAAAATATTTAATTATGCTTGTTTTATTGTTTCTGTATACATAGAAAACATGAAGTTATTAAAAATATAATAATTATTAAAAACATGATACAGAAAATCAAATCATATTGCGTATACAATTCAAAGTGACTTAAAATTTCAGCATTATATATATTTTTTTGTTTGGAGAAAATACTTGTTACCATCTGATTTGTATACTCCTCTCTTTTTTCCAGAATATGGACAAATGTATCCTAATAACAACCAATTTTCCAAACAGTTTTATGTTGATCAGCTTTTACTATGAGAAATATACATTTATGTTATCACCTCGCTTAATGAGTAACTTTTGGGATAATCAACAGGTAAAATGGATTGAATTGTCAAAAACGAAATACGGTAAGTTAGGGAGAAAAACTGATATCATAGATTGAAAGTGTCCTTGTATTCGATTATATTCCATTCATATTAAACTTTGATCCCGGTCTACTGAATTCGCCGGACGTAATTTTAAATGTTTAGTTTGTATTTTTTCTCTATAACTTATTTTTACGTATTTCACTTGTAATTATCCCTAACATAACACATTTCGTTGACATTGCTATCACATAATTTTCAACCAAAATAAACAAGCAGGTATTGTTTTTATTTTCTTAGTCTGCTTAATTATTTATTTAACCATGACGTTTGATTAGTAACATGTTATATTCGTTGATATTGGATGAACATACTTAGGTCATTTTATACTGGTCAAGGTTATACGAAATCATTAGAATAGTGTGCTCAAGAAGTATCAGATAGTTAATGTATTATTTGCTTCATATACATTGACTGCGAAAGTTCTAATGGATAAGCAAAAAAGAGAAATATTGTTTACCGACTATAAGAGAGAAATCTAATTACTGGAGACAGTTACATCAGACAGCTGATGAATTAACGCAATGTAGCATAGTATTGAATATTATAATATTATAATAATATTCAATGACAACAAATGAATTGACAAAGTGGTCTTTTTTTTGTTATAATATATAAACGGTCTATGTCTATATATTCTAAGTCTGAATGAATATTTAGTTACGTAGCTTAAATGTGTACCTATATTCTTTACTGTAATAAATGCATGATAAGAGATGCCTGGTTTATCATTGAAAGATCTTATACAAGAAATATGTTTCTCACAACTAGCCTATCACATATTTTCGCTCATTATTTGTTTTGAATAAGGGATTAATAGTTAATAGATTACCTTGTGACTATATCAAGATCAAAATATTATACTGTTCACGAATGAACAGGTTACGTGATTTGTGCATATATTTTTTTTCAAAACAACGTTTTCAACTTAAAATGACATTAACTTGAAAACTACCGAAAAATAAAAGGCAATGGGCAATAGTTTTTAGTATGTGAATATTTAGAAAGGGTAATCATATCCAGGTACGGAAATTTGTAGACTAATAAACTCAAACTGACTACTTTTATAAATCTAATGATTACTATCAATATTTTTTCACTTGGAGTTGTATTCTTATTTATTATAAATTTTCATACACCAGCTTTGACATTTTCATCATCAATATAATTTCTATTGCAGGAAATGTACATCGAAAACAGTATATTTAAATCAATTGCAATGATATGTGATCTATAAAATCTACATACTGGGTTACGTGAATCAAGTAACTTTACATAGAATGAAATGCTAATTCAAATTATTCATGTGTTCATTTAAAAATTAGTCGTTTGTCTACTACTTCAGGACTTAAATTATTTCTTTCGAATATAATTTCACCCTGAACGTTTTTATAACGGCCAATGTCCATGAAGAATGGTGTTATGGTGTTATTAATCATTTCAATATGCAAACATCGACTTCATTTAAATATTACTGAATAAAATCAAAAGAATTTCTTTTAGATTCAGTAACACAATAATTAAAACGAATATAAGTTAACTCAAAATTCGAAATTAATCATCCGATCACTTGTTTCAATGTTCTTTACTACTCAGCACCGATTAAAATAAACTCTGAATGATTATACGGGGAAGATAGACAAAGGTAACCAGGAAAGAAATTGCCATACTAAAAATCATCATAGTAAATACATAAATAAATACCTTTTAATACGAATATTTCAACCTTTTTTTGGAACCACGGATACAGTTTCTAGAAATTAGCTTTCTATTGTACACCTAAAATGGCTAACTCAATAAACTTTACGACCGCATATCCAGTGTTAGTTGGAAACAAGTATCTTGATATAATAGTGGCTTTATGTTGTGTATTTGAAAATAAGTTAAACTCCATCATTTCGTTGACGGGATGCATGAATAGTTTTCACTTGACTATATCTAACTGGTGAGTTGGATCAATCAGAATTTGTAAGCAGTCATCCATTAATTTTTATTAAAATATTCCTATATTTACTACATAATCTGAAATTTCAGTGGTTCAACGTCAGTCAACGATGACAGTTATTATTTCCTATTTGTTTACAATTAAATGCACTATAAACTAAATCTGAATAGCTCATACAATATATAATAGCATATTTTAGTTGCATCAATATTTTTTGTAATAATAAGGTAAGAATACTGTCATTAAACTATTAATAAAAATAAGTTCTACGATCAAAACAAGTATTACGCTTCGAGTGCATTTTGTTTTCTTTTTTTAAATGAAATACACATGAGTATATAACTTTTTTTAATAAGAACAACGCTATTGATGTACTTAGGATCTTTCTTATGTGAACTTTGATTTATTTAAACAGCACAAAAACGTTTATTTTGAAAAAGAAGAAATGTGACGGCACATATACATATATAAACTCAGTTAATAATAAAATACTTTGCCAAAATTTTATTATTATTATTATTATTGAGGTTATAGTTACAATACATGTATTTTATTTGAAAAAGCAATATAATAGTAAAGAACCGAAAAGTTAATAGTAAAATTTTTTTAATAAACTTCATGTAGAAAGAGTTTGGGATATTTTTTCTACCTCAGTAGATATTCATCTGGGGACACTGATGAAAAAACTCACAATTGAATAGATGTCATTTCCTGTACCCACTATGTAAAAATTATTTGAAAAAAAGTTTAATTTGGCAAAGAATAATCAATAGAGCAGAAATATTTATTCGTCTGTATTGCTTAAGTAAGTCAGGTTTCTTAAATATTTTATTATTCAATTACCAACTCTGAGTCTGGCCATAATATGAAAGAATTATTGAACCCTGTTACTTGTCTACAAATATGGAATAGAAAACTGGGAAATATGAAAAAATATATATTAATGGTCAAGATTCTTTTAAATTAAGAGATTGAGAGCTATTACCAGTCTGTGATTGAATGTTTTATTTTCCACTAGCCAATCAATCATCTTAAAGAAAAGGGACTATTCAAATACAAATGTTTGTCAATCTGGATTCACTTAAATAAACTGAGATAAAAAAACTTTTTTCTGCTATTTGGCTACAACGATACGAAATTCCAGAAGATTCATTATGTATTTCGTCTGACTGGCAACAAAGTTATTTTTCATCAGAACAAGGTTCGTTCGTTTATTGTTTTCAATAGTATTTTTCCTGAAGTATTAGTTCAAGTTATGGTTATATGATAAATCGCAAGTATTGCATTGGGTCTTACAGGATGCGTGCGGTAAATACTAGCTATACACCGATGAATGGACGTAAAAGGATTATTATCACAAACTAGATTGTTCATAAGCCCAGCAGAATTTTCATAGGTTTCCGTTGGTGAGAAAACGTACAGAGTTCCAAGAACTTTTAAATATGAGTATGTTGTTTTTGAACTAGATTGGATTGTGTGCTAAAAAAGAGACAATGCAAATTCATATGTTTTGTCATGAAAATATCCATCTGTTTTTCGTAAATTTATTAAGTCTCACTTTCAAACTTGTCAATTACTGAATAACAAGAGACCATTAAAATAAATATCTGGACAAACAAATGTACTATGACCAATCATTTATGATTTGAGACGACCCTAAAGTACATCTGAACGTCAACTTTAATTCTCAGAAACATTTATTTCCTTTGATCAGTTTAAATAATTCGATGAGATATCTTAGTTTATCAGAACCATGTGATATATTATTGTAATATAAATTGGATAAGCTAGTGACTCAACAGCGTGTGTAGATATCTGTTAAATTAAGCTCAGCCTGGACAAATTGTTGCATAACAAAAACAAAGAATACAATAAGAGGTAATATGAATCAAACCGCCCCGGATATTGTAGTTAATTCAATCTAGCCAGGGTAAGTTTACTGTAAATACGATGTGTTTTTGGATCCATAAGAGAGAGAGTCTGAATTTTCAAGTGATGAAGGTATCAACAAACACAATTAGTTGCATTCAATGATCTACATTTCCAATTTCATTGAATTCATGATATTGTGTAACCATCACGCAATAGCATTAGTGATATTTGTCCCACAGCCTAAATGATTGAACTCTATTGGTCACTACTTCTCACAAGAATTCATATTGATGGAACAAGCATATTTTTATAGGAATTATAACTGACTAAATTGATATCATTGTAAAATAATAACAATAATTGTTGAAAATAAACAGAAATAGAGGTCAATAGTTTATAAATAGTGTGTAAATAATTATCTGATGAAATAAGAAATCGGAAAATTAAATTATTGATATATGTGACAACGACCTTGTCGAAATTAATTTACACAATATATCAAATGTCAGAAAAGAAATGATGAAATGAATAAATAAGGAAAATTCTTTTATGTTACGGAATGTTTATTATATTACACTTAT